AATCTGAGAAAGACAGGTCTGCCAGCTGAAGAGCAAGATAGTTAACGACCCAAGTGTTCACAGGTTTGGTGTCATCAATGTTTGAAAGGGTTCATTTGCAGAGTGGGATTTCAACTCGTAAATTTCATATCAGTCAAGGTTTCCACATTTTGCTTCTTTCTTTGTGTCTAATTGGTGTGGAGTAAAAGTAGGCCCAACACCTTTATTTTTGGTGACACATATTGGTGTTAAACAATCATTGTAAACACTTAGGAATCCTACTGATCTCTGGTGTAAATTGGTTTATTCGTTTTATTAAAATAAGATATTTCTTAAAAATCTTGATCCATTCTTGATGGAATGTGAGGATTCCCTTTTTGCCGTTATTGTGAAGTACTAATATTTTTTATATTTAAAAAAAAAAAAATCTCTTGGTGCCTAAGAACTTTGCTTATAAATGTCAAAGGGGTTAGATTATATGACTTAATATCTCTTTGCAGACGTCTCCCGCGATAACTATCATCCTCTCACTCATAATTTAAAACCATATCAGTCATTTCATTTTGCTGAGCACAACTGTCATCTAACACATTTGCGTGTAGTTTTTATGTTTTGGATTTGGCTTCGGTCTGTTGTCATGACCAGTTAGGTATTTTCTGCTGGTGATTTCATCTGTAAGGATATTAGACACCCATTAGGGCGTCTGGTAGCTGGGAGGGGGAGGAAAAAGAGGTGTTGGAGAAGATGTACAGCCTGTCAAGTGAGAGCAAATCTGAAGTGAGGTTGACAAGGAATTCTAAGTGAAGTATTAACAGACACCCAGAATAATCAGTGAAGACAGGTAGGGACCTAAACCACCTTATGCAGTGTCAGGTGATGTTATGTCTCAAAGGTCATTCTGTTTAAAATAGAAGCTTTAAGTAATGTTTTTGTTTAGTTTGTATAGGATTGAGTGCAACTACAGTATCTGTACTAAGCAGTTTTTCTTTTCAAGAGATAAGATTACAAAATTCTCAAAACGAAACGAGTCTTACGCAAATATTTTTTGAAAAATAAGTGGAAACTAAAATCCATTTGTTGGAATGAGGTGACGGGTAATTTTAAATGAAAACAAATAAAAAGTGAGAATACATGAAAACAAGGGATTAAATATGGACTTTGGTAAAAGCCAGTACAGGGCTCTATTCTGTCTATAATGGGAACAAGCAGGTAGTGTTTGTTTAAGAAGGGTCACAAACTACATCTGCTACACAAAGCACCAGGAATTTTAAGATTTAATTCCAGGTTCACTGATCAAGGAAGAAGGTCACAGTTGGATGTTAAAGTCGATAAATAATATTAATAAATGCAGACGGCTATGAATGTAACAGATTATAAAAAAGAAACTTGATTCAGTGGGATTATCATCACAAGTTGCAATTAAGTTTACTAATTGCTATGGGGCAATTAGTAAAAAATCTGTTTTTGGTAAGATATACAATTATGGAATATTTTCAATTAGTTTTTTAAGAAAACATTAGCAAACCTCAAATTTTACCAATTGCTCTATTAGACAAACCATCCTCAATTCATCTTCCCTCTCCTACAGAGAATAATAGCTGGTGCATGGATCCCAAGTTCAGATCATGTTTTTGTGTTTTGTCTTGCGTATTGCGGTGTCATTCGGCCAAAGTTGGTTTTGCCAAGTTTAGTTTTTACCGTACTTGTACATACTTTAAAAGACACCAAGATAAATATTTGCTAATCTTTCTTAATTATGCACTTATGTCAGAATAAATATTTCTCAGGAATAGTTCTAATCATTAGATTTGTGAGAAGTGCAATCTCTTCTGCTATTATCTGTTAGGTTAACACCAGCAGCCTCAGGAACTGAATGATGATTCACTGAAGGATTAATGTACCAATCTTCACAAGATAGTAATTCAGAAACAAAGTGGTCTTCAGTTCAGTGGCTTACTGATATTGCTGCAACACAGACTCTACAGGAGATCATTCCTGCCCACACCTGTAATATTTCCAAATGATTCTTAGAAGGCAATTAAAGGAATAATCCCTACTTTTTTTTCTCTTTGGAATTAAGAAATTGTTTTTGAATTGAACCGAATTGAATGTGCTGCTGAACTTTTAGTTTTTTCAGTGAAACTTCAGGAAACCTGTCATAATGCCTAGCTTTATCACATTTTTAGCTTTTATTAGCAGTTTTCAAGTTCTCTGAGTCAAAAAATAATACAAAAATCTTGATCATAATTCAAAACCCTTTATTCATTAAGATGAGTTCAGGACAATTTATGTTTTCCACAGGACATTAAAAATGATAGCTAAGCATTGAGGTATCTTGACCCCTCTTTTGTGCAACAAGTATTGTTCCAGCCCTTGTTGCTATCATCCCTATTATTAACTAGTACATAAACGGATTCCCAAGCAAATCCACACACAAGCGCACCCGTGTGAGATATTTACGTGACTGCCGTATGCAATGGCGACATGCCATTTTGGCGTCTTTGTCTCCATGCGAGGGTGAGCAGCTTTTGTAAGTCGACACCTACTTCTTCATATGACATGTCATGTGGAGGAGGTCTTTTTGCATGTTTGTGAATATCACTGTTGCTCTGTAAACGCCAGTCTGGCAGCAGGCGGTAACCAGAGCCCACAGAGAGCTGATGCCGTGTGTAAATTAAACGGGCCCTCCAAGCATTCTCCTTCACTTGGGGTTGCTGTGTCTGTGCATTTTTCCCCATCTAGAGGTTTTGCCTCATAAAAGTGAAAGTTCTGCTTTTAATTTGTGTCGCAGTAAGTTGGTGGAAGTTGAGATCTGGATGTATGACTGAAGTTTTGCGCAACTATGTGTAAAATGCCTGATTGAGCTTTGCTACTTTACAGAATGGATCGCAGTGCTTCTGTCTTCAACACTGCGTCCCTGCATCTTTAAAATTCATGTTAAAAAAGTAATATGGCCCTTAACATGTTTTCATAGATCCTAAATTTTGTTTTGACAGAACTATTTAATTTCGTAGATTTTGTGTGCTTGTTTTTTCTCGTGGGGCTGTTCTGTCCGGCAAAAAATCAGCAGACCTCTTCATTGCATGTAACCTGTGACAGTTAAGGCTAACATACCCTTGCTAAGTAGCTACCTCACATTTTTGTGTCCGTCATGTGTAAGTGCAAATTTGTCATCAGTGGGCTGGACGACATTTGTACATTTCTGAGGAGATACAGGCCTTAAATTCCATTCTTTATGGTCTTTAAAAAGTCTTACATTTAAGTTGGGGAGATCTGCAGAGACCCCTGTTCGAGATGAGCGGGTTATCTTGAGGTGATTATGATTCTGTCGTGTCCTGTGAGGGTCTTTGCCAAGACTACTTCAAATGATCCCCCCTGACATTAATATTTTCACTTGGAGGCAGTAGGGGATCAAGGTGGGGGGGCAATGTAAGCAAGATTTTTTTGGCTGGCCTTGTTTTATGTTGGCAGTGATGAAAGACACCAAAGCCATTACTCATTGTTCTGGCATGCCCAGAATGTATTATTAGCTCCCGTCTTCCTATTAGTCTCTACAGAAAGGTTGGAGGGTCAAAAAATAAAGAGGTAACCAGTCTGCAGGGCTGTCTGCACTGCTGCTGTTTACCAGGGAGGGGGGGATATTTTAGACCTCCGAGAGCTTGCATATTTACCCCACTGAGCCTGACTGACCTTGCCATTTGGTGGTGTGAGGAAGCTGGAACCACGAACAGCAGAGAGACTAGGCAAAGGGAGAAACCGTCTGGTTTGATAAGCAAGTAGCGTTTGAAGATAAGACTCCAGAAAGCAGGATTGTTTAAATAGAAGAAGACTGAGCTAAGCAGAAGGTTTCAGGAGAGAAGCGAGGAGGGGGTGGGGGACTTAGCGGGAGCAGCGGCCATCGGTGGAGAGTGGCAGCCAGGCTGAGCTGACTCTTCCCCAGAGGAGGAGTTGCAGTTGCCGGCCAGGGCAGGTCCCGGTGCTGGCAGGGCTGGCCCTACTGCTTCTCCACCTCCATTCCTTCCTCCCCTCTCACTCCTCCTTCATTTCACTATCACCCAAACTGCTGAGCAGTGATGGAATTGCGAGCTGGGCTCCTAAGCTAAAGGAACGCTTAGAAAATCTTAACAATTACATTTTTCTGCCACTAGTAAGGGCGCGGGGGAGTAGTGGGTCACCGCCGGAAAGACTTCTTATCCTTTTGTCTTATCGGTGTTATTGCACTCACTGGTTGAGTGCACTGAGAAGACAAAGGAAGTTATTTTTTTTAGTGTGTAAATATTTTTTTCTTCATTTTGGTTTTGATTTCGCAAACCGGAACAGTGGCAACGTTTTCAGTAGCACGGTGCAAGGACCAGCTCCACTCACCCAAGATGAGCCGCTGGCTGAAATGCACCTCCATGCACTTTGTATGTATTCTTTTGTTGTTGCTTTTAAGTTATTTTTTTTTTTACAGACGATTGATCTAGGTTTGTGATTTTCTAGATATGGTTACATAAAGTCAGAGTTTAAATAAAATAAAGGAATGCCTAATCATGCATATAGATTAGCGGTTATTGGTTAACAGGCAACATTTAGCCTATATACTCTTATAAGTTTGGTTTGTTTGTACTGAGATTGGATGTTCAGTATAAAGGTCATGTTGTTTCTTTCTTAGAGAAGGACTCTGTTCCCATGTTTTGTATCTGTCACTCATGGGTTGATGGGATTCAGTGCTGATTTAGTGGGATTGCTGTACAGCGCATTCTTCGCATATTCCTGCTCTAACTTGTGTTCCAAGCAGTTGCTGTGGAAAAGCATCAAAATTACTCAACCATTGTGTTCTTTTTAAGTTCCCAAATGTCCTTTTTTTTTTGTAATCTGAAGGAATTGGAAACCAAAATCCCATTCTTCCTTTTACCCATCAAGCCATGAGAGACTTCTTCCTTATATGGCAGCAGTTATCCTTACATGTTGAATCAAGCCAGCTGTGGAGAGTACATATTTGGTTCTGCATGTCTGATGGTGTTTCTTGTTTGTGTCAGAACACAGACTGGAACAAGTACGATGATCGGTTGATGAAGGCGGTGGAACGTGGTGAGGTGGACAAGGTCGCCGCTGTTCTCGGCAAGAAGGGCATCGTTCCCACCAAACTCGACGTGGAGGGACGCTCTGCGTGAGTAAACAAACGCACACAAACACCGGTATGCTGATGTAGTCAGCAAAATGGATGAAATTTGTGCTAAGCACCTTTATATGTTCCAATCAAACTCCTAAATTTAGTTAAGACTCCCCATCAAGAACCCCAAACATTACCATTCTCTCCACATCACATGACATTCCATGTCTCGACCCTCAGATAAGGAATCTATCGTGGAATTTCCTTAATGATTACCTAACCAGTTGATCTCTTTTTTATGTTCAAGGTTTGAACAATAAAAGTTTCATCCAGCTGCCCTGCAAAGGAGATATGTTCCAGTTTTATATTTTTGTGTCTATTTTTTTTCTATTTAGAATTTTCCCTTTTTCTGTCCAACTTACTTGAGGTCAATGTGGGAGTTGGCATAAGGACTGTTTGTAGACACGGAGAGCTTGACCACGCTGACCAGAGGCTGTTTATGTAGTCCTTGCAGGAAATAACTCCCTTCCAAGTCAAATCAGATCCACTATGTTGTTCCCAACAATAACGAATCCATTTAGGCCCAGCTGCAGAAAATGATCAGGATCAGCTGATATGTTGAAGAACCGGCTTAGAGCTGTTTAGTGGGAATCAGAGTTTCTTTTTTCCCATCTAGAATGTCTTGATTATTGGTCCAACTTGTGGAATTAGTGTAAATGTGAGTAATGTAGGATTAATGGACCAATCGGCATCTGTTGTGTGCATAAACATCTTTATGGGTCCAATAATTGCCTGCTGTTATAATCAGGTTTTAATCTATTTCTGACCACTTTCATCAACTGACCGTATCTGATGGTTTCGGAGTCATGGCGACCGTCCTAGAACTGGCTGCACCAAAACAAAGTTATTCTCAATATCTGGTGTTTAGATTGATCTATTCTACTGTAAATCTATTCAAATGAACTCAGTATTTTGGAAAAGAGGACAAGCTTTTACCAAAGTCTGTCCAAAATGCAAAAAAAAGAAAACCTGAACCATAATCACAGCTCTTGACAGTCTGTATATAGTTTCAGCAGGGCCACACACAGACCACACATCTCCATGGCATCCCAGCCTTCGCAAAAACAGACATGGGAATGTTGAACGGTGATTCCCTGTAATCACAAACCTCTGAGGAGGAACTAATTACAAACAGTTAACCCCTGTACATGATCGACTGTGCCTTGGATTAGCCTCGTTATGTCCGGCTAATGAATTCAGACCAAGCCTTTCTGTCTCGGCCTCCAGCTGAGTAAACAGTTCACATCTTTCCTCTGGCATCAGCCAGCGAGGCAGGCCCACCCATAACCCGTGCTTATTCTGTGCCACCGTGTCAACGAGGGGTCAAGCAGCAAAGCAGTCTTCATAATAGCACACTGTGTGAGGCAGGTGCTCACTGTGGCTTTTTGAGTAGAAGGCAATGATTTTTGACAGAATTTCTCTGAACATGCGCAATCGACGTCCTTGATAATAATAATTTTTATGTCTACTATCACAGATTACAGAGCTTCTAACTTGCAGAGATTTGCTGGTGGGAATTGTGCAGTTTAGGTATTAAAATTGTTTTAAAGTATCAGAAATAGCCTTAAAAAAGTGCATTGCTGCAGTGTTGAAGCTGCTAATTTTACCAAATGGATGTGGGACCATCATATGGTTTAGCTACATGCATATACTTTATGGATCACTCTTCCAGCTCCTTTAAAAATAGCAGGCATGTCCTGTAGAGGGTAAAGATGAAATGACACCTCCACTTTCTGAAAGGCCAATTTCAAAGCTTGTTAATAAGCTCCTATGTATGAAAAATGTACATTTGTCTGTGCCAGTAACAGTAACAAAGCTGACTGTTAATTTTTTTTGGAGTGACCTGCTGCTAAGATCTGATAGAGGAGTGATGGAAAAGTATTTTACTCTGGACATCCTCTGAACGACTTCCTGCTCTTTTCTGGATCTAAACTGATCTTGATTTAACATCAGATTGTTCATTAATGACATTTATAGGAAAAGTAGCTCACAGTTGCACTCACTTCCTCTCTGCCGTATCATAATTTTATCATAACTACAGAAAGTGCACCTCTTCACTGTGTCATTCTGTGAAATGTGTTCAGAATGATTTATTTAGTTGTTATACGGAAAATGCTCCGGCTCCTGAACTTGTCACTTGTGTCCACCAAACATGATTTGCTCTGGTCGACTTCCTGTCTGCTTTTTTGCCCCTCCGGGGTCATGACCCTCCTCTGCTCCCGAGAGGACCAGCATCTCCTCGCCATCAACACAGCTTTTAATATCCACGCCAGTGTTGAGGTGACAGCCTAGCTGTCTCCTTGGCAGATACTTCGGGGCCTAGTGTATAAACGGGTTCATGTGGCTTGAGGGCTGACAGGCTGAGATTAGTTTACATACAGTGGCTTTGCAGCCCTTCATGGCTGGTGGCAGCAGAGCGGCTACGGATTACATCAATGAATTTCAGCTTGAATGTTTCAGGTTGGGATTGATTATGAAAGACATGGCGTGAAATTGATCAACTAAGGATGCTCTTTTCAATACAAACTTGCTCAAATATTTGAAAAATGTATCAATTTGAAGATTAAGTGTGAAGTTCTAACATTTTTAGCCCACTTCCAGTATCCATATTTTATGCATTTAAAATGTATGCTTCCAAATTTAGAACGATGTGTTTTCTGTTTAAAAGTGCTCGCATAAAGTAGAAACACCACATTATCTTCCAAACTTGTTGTCATGGAGGGTTCTTGTTGTGGACCTCAAGAATGCTGATCTTGCTGTCAGTATGGAGCCAAGTCTCCATTTTCAGTTTGTCCTTAAGTTTCACCCTCCCCCTCCTCTCCACCAGGTCACTTCTTCATTTCCCTGTCCTAAATCTCTGCCATCTCCTCACTGGTCTATCTATCTCATATTTATTTTTCATGTCATATTTTTTTTGCCATTTATTTAAACTCCCAGGTTTCATCTGGCAGCCACACAAGGACAGCTTGAATGTCTCAACCTCATGCTGGGACACAATGTCGACATCACTGCAAAAGACGCCTCTGGTGAGTTTGGGTTCAGCATAAGATATAACCTTTGAAGTGTAACATAATATTCAGCCTATGTGTAGTTGAAGTCAAAGTGTTTTTAAGCTACCACAGAGAATTAGTATTGAACTTGAGTTGAATATTGAGCTTATTTTAGCCTAAGTTATTTTTAGTTTTGCAGATTTGAATTTACAAGACAGACAAATATATGCAGACTTTGGAAACTTTGGTTTCATCAATGAAATAAAAAAAAAAGATTCTGTAACGCATGTGTCTTTGAACTCAAAATATTAAAAGTGCAATATGTTACTTTTATAAAAATGTTTTTTTACATATTTGTTTCAACTGTTAATATGTCATGACATAGTGGTATAAGCTTGTGGGTCCTACTGCCCAGGAGGAAGGTCTTAGTGTTGTCAGCAATGATCGTGTGTGCGCTGCTCAATGTGCTGATGGAGAAACAACTCGCTGTTCAAAACAAAACAAAAAACTTTTCACTGTCATTGGTAACTCAATGAATTTTTTTGAAGCTCAATTTTTTTGTCGCAGTTTACCTGTCTCATTTTCTACTGTCAGAACATAGTGACAGTATTAAAATGACCAAAAAAAAACAGAATAAATATCTTAACCCAAACTAAAACATTTCTTGTCAATTACTACGAATGTTTTATACATACTTGCTACCTTACAGTCTATTGGTTAAGAGCAAGATCAGATTATACCATATACAATCTGTTTTTTAATTAACCACACAATTGAATTCAAGCTTCAGATGTCACGTCAAGAACATTAACACTTAGTGTCATCTTATCTCCTGTTTTGCTTTACAGAAAAGCAACATTTATGTTTTTAAATGGCTGCTGAATTGCTTGCTGCTAATTGATTCTGCCTTAATTAAGATTGAAAAGATACTATCATGCAATTATTGGTTATACTTCCCTGATCTTAATTAGAGCAAACACCATGCCTTCAATAAAGCTTTCCACAGAATTGTATTAGTCATTAAGTACTTAGTGTTGGAAAAGAGTTTGAATTTTAATTAACCCAAAATTGTCCCATTTGTCTGCATTAGGAAAAACCGCTCTTCATCTGGCTTCAAAGTACAGAAATTCTGTGTGTGTGCAGAAACTCCTGCAGGTAAAGTGAATTTCATTATTTACCTATAAGAGAGAAGAAAAAAAAGCACAGTGCTATTTATTATTCATGTGTTTTCTTCTCCATTAGTGTTCACACACAGCATGTCTACACGCCATTGTATTTTGGTTCCAGACGCCTCGTCGGTCAGACCAGTTGTCCCTTCGGCCCCCTTAAATAATTATTGCCGACCAGCCCTCACCGCTGAGCCCTCTCCATATCAGGGCCCTGTTGAGTCACCAGGGCCTCTCTGGGGGCTTACATGTTTACAATGAGGGATTTCACTCCAGCATTGTTCTCTCATTGTTGGAAACCTTTCCCCTGCTTCCATCTCTCACATGACAGCGATCTAATGGAGGTTGTGGCTGTTGGCAGGGGATTGTCAGCAGTGTTGACAAGCTCACCCTCCTACACTCCCCTCCACCCTCCCCACCCCATCCATTCTTAGTGCCGTCATCACGCTTCCTGTAGCAGCTTGATGCCAACAGCCACAGCCTCCCCTATCTCTCTCAGTCAGCCTGAACCCTCCAGGTATAGGATATCCCCCCTCTACTTCGACCCTCGCTGCCAGGTCATTTGAGCATGTAGATAATTTTTGCCACTTGTTGCTAGAGAGAGCTGGGTTTTAGCTGGCAGGGCTTACCCAGCAACATCAGGCCCCTATTAGAGTCCTCAAGGTTTTCATCACAGCCCCTTGTTGGTACAGTAGTATGGTGTCCGTCCGGCTGAGTGAGAGATATCACGAGCATTTCAGCACAGCGCCGTCCAGTGTGACGCAAGGCGCCTGCTGCTGTTGCTCAGATTGCATGGCCTGGCCAGCCACTTGTGGAGAAGTTATGTTGATGATGAAATTCTACCCTTATTCACATTGGGAGCGTTTTACTAAACCAATCTTTGTAACATTTAGACCAAAGAGTTTATGTTTTGCATATGGGCCAAATTGTACGACACCACGTTCACACTTCAGGCGGATGTGACCATGTGCGACCCATATCATACTTTTTCACAACATTTCCAATGATTTTTCTGTTAAAAAATATCCAATTTGAGCCACTGCTATATGTGGTACTAAATCAAAAATGTGTCTTATTCTTTTTCAAAGAGTCATGTCGCAGTCAATGCTCATTTTACATGATATTTCTTTTCCAAGAAGAAGCAATAACGGATGAAAAACTATGGCTGTTTTATGAAATTACGAATGAAATTAGGATTTTAGCTTTCTGGATGTATAACCTGGTTTTTCTGTGAAAAAAAGGAAAACATTGAAATGAAAATAACAAATTGTATGTCAAGCTGAACTTTTGCTCCGTTCCAGCACAACTGTCCAGTCGGAAACGTGGACCTACAAGGACGCACTGCTCTACATGATGCCGGTAAGACTCCACTTCACTCTGCTGGTGGCTGAATTCGGCTTTAACGTAGCGCTGCTGCTAACGTGTGACTACTTCTTCTCGGAGAAAGTCAGCAATGACTCAACACTTCTAGACCAGACTTGACTTCACACTACTCTTGTGGTGGCTTGACTCTGGTAGTTTGTATAAAAATCACACCTTCTTCCTACATAAACGTCACAAGAACTGATCACATTCTGGCATCATAAATAGTCTTTTTTTTCTGCTGTCTTACTGGGACAATTAAAATTCTTTAACAAGAGATTTATTTCAGGAAGGGGGAAGATACTTTCTCATACCTCTGAACCTTGGGTTTAATATCCTGAAGCTTTTACTGTCATTCTAACTATAGTTATCTCTGTCCTTTGTAGAGATAATGATACCCTCAAAGGCCAGACTTTCTCAATGTATTCCTGCATCACAAGCTACTTTGCATTTAATATGTGCCACATTAAATGAGTTCATTTTAGAGATATGTGCTGACATTTAAATACTAGCCTCTTCGGGCTTTAAATCCACAGACTGCAGGAGGAACAAAGTGGATCTGCATGTACCTCTTCCTGTTAAATGGAGTGAAATAATTGTAGGTGTGTCACTTCTTGTTTTTGTTGTTTTTTTTCTCCTCAGTGATGGGGGGCTGCACCTCCAGTGTGAAGCTTCTTTGTGACCGTGGGGCTTCTGTGAACATCTCTGATTTTGTAAGAAACACAATGAACCGTTTATTTCATTCATAATAGAGCCGTTTCTTTCTTAGATACAGAATGTGCTTTTCATTTGATTTTTTTGAAAAGACAAATTTTTCTGTTCTGCTGATAAATCCATTTGCTTTATAAATGCAAGTAAAGTCTAAAGCAGTTTGTGTTTGTTAATTAATTGTCTGGATTAGTCACTACATGCCTGTATAGATTTCTGTGTGTGCTTTTCTGCAGGATGGCAGGACTCCTCTGATTCTGGCAACACAGATGTGTCACCCTCATATCTGTCAGCTGCTGCTGGAGCGAGGAGCCGATTTCAATGTCCGAGACAAACAAAACAAGTAAGTTCCTGTACCCCTCGGGCTGTTTCTCTTTGATAAGCCTGTTGCATGTCAGCTTTGATTATTTTCAGTCTAAGCTGCAGACAGAAAGCTGCTTTGGGCAGATTATGTAGGATTGATGAGTTGGATCTCACACGGAAACGGTGTCCGTGACATTACAATATCTTGTTCCAGGTTTTTTGAGTTGCCACACATTAGCTTGTGTCAGAAACGTAACACTGCTGGATGTAGATATTGTAAACTAGAAACCAAAAAAAAAAAATGCTGGTTTTCATGTTTACGATTAGTTTTCTTCCCGTAATTCAAATTTTCTACAAATGACTTAGCCCAACACAACTAAAGTCATCGTTCAGCATTCGAAGCAGGACACATTTCTTTGAAAGGCCTGGGGGGATGTTTGGACATGTTCTCCTCCTGAACCTGTCTCTGTTGCCTCCCTAAGGACACCTCTGATTTTGGGCTGCGAGTTCGGCTGCAAGGACGCCGTGGAGGTGTTATTGAAAACCGGCACTGATGTGAAAGCAGTCGACAACATGGGTCACGATGCATTTCACTACGCTCGCCTCAGCAACAAGCCAGACCTCCTTGCATTGATCAAAAGTCACCTTGAGAAGGTCAACAGAGGTCAGACTGGGAACAACCTGCATGGCTTTGTTTGTGATGAAGACAAGACAAAGTGTCATCATGCTGTACAGTGGCTTAAGAAATGTTTAATTTGGTCTTGCATAACTACATGATGCCTTCATTTCATTTGCAAATGGAAGGAAACAGGAAATTAGAACATGTTTTTTATTTTTATTTATTTATTTATTTTTCAGAAAAAGAAGCTGCAAAGATCGAACATTGGAAGCGGCAGGTAACCCAGTGGGATTTGGTTCAATCTCGCATCATCGTTCACAATGTAGTTGCAGAGAAAAACACACATTGGTCTACATTACACTTATATACAGATATACCAGTATGCTTTTATTTCTATGGTTTTGAAATTGTGTGTCTATATGCCTACATTTCTGATTTGTCATTGTTTATTGTAGGGTACTCTGGAGTTGATCATGACTGCCCCCTAGTGATAAAATGTCATAATGTTACAAATGAACTTTTCTTTTTTTTTAAAACCACCATAACTTTGTAAAAATAATGTCCTTTTTCTCAGCTTTCAGTGGACAGATCGGATGCGGCGGAGTCTAACAGAAAGGATCAGATCATATTTGTAAGTTAACTTCTTTGATGTAACTTCTTTATGCTTTTTGACATAATGCATTTATACAGTAATCCAAGTCATTTGTTTCACATAAAATACCAATGATGAATAGGTAAAATGTCATGTGTTTTTTATTTGTTATGTGTTGGATTTATTTCTCTGTTTAGGATCTGGAGAGGCAGAACGAGGCTCTTCAGGAAGGCCTCAGGAAGTACCACCTGGAGCAGAAACTTCTGACAGATAAGGTCAACATGCTGCAACATCAACTCATGCAGGTATTTTGTCATTTTTTTACGAGATCTTGGTGAAAATTAGCTTCAGCATGAGGGGGGCCAGAAGTTTTATCCAATATGATCTAGTCCAGTCACCAGGGACTTTAAAATGCATCATTCACCAAACCCAGTCGTTGTATGCAGAAAATTACTTAATACAGATTATGAATTCATTAATCTACTCCCAGGTAAAATATATATATTTTTTATCTGCAGGGGAAAAAAGCAGTGGAAGATTCTCAAAAAGAGGTAAGAGTTTTATTTTAATTTATTTTACTATAAAAAAAAAAACGTTTGAAGTGTGTTCGTCCAATAAGCTCCATTTTCCTACAGTGATAGGTTAGGATCTCTCCAGTAAAATCTTGGATTACAAACGTCTATTCTAAAACTTAAATGAGAAACTTCAACTTTGTTTTCCCTGTGGTTTACCAGGCCATCCGATTTCTCAACTTAAAGCAGAAAATGTCATCCTTTGCTGAAATCTAGGTCTTTATTTTAAAACCACCACAAATTAGCTGTTGTTTTGAGTAAAATACACAACAAAACCTTCCATGTTTATGTTGCCTTTTGCCTCTGCTTGAAGAACCATCGATGGATCCATTTTTTTCCACATAATTAAGAGTCTGAATCATGTGGTTCTAAAATCACATGATTAAATCATGTTCTAGATTAAAGTATGCCCTGACTTAAAAGTCAGCACTGAAGTTGATATACTGCCCTGACTCCTGCAGTTTCATGTTGACTCAATGTGTGCTTTGTAGGATTTTCCAAACTTCATTTAGACGGAAAAACCCATCCCTATTGTCAAATTGGCTGCAGTTCTGCTGGAGGTAGCTTTTAGCTCTTTGGAGACATCTGTTTACACATCAGTTTCCCTAACTCCGATTTACCATGAAAAGATCATCTCAGTTGTGCTTCAGAGCTTTAGGTATTTTTTTACAGCCTTAGAAAGGTCCTTCACTTGGTATCATTTACGTCTTATAGTTAAATAAAAACATCTGATTCCTGCCCCATCACCCACCTCTACTTTTTCTTGTTAATGCATCAGAAAGAGCAGTTGAAGGCGTTATTCAGTGCCAAAGACAAAGATGAAGGCGGTCGCAGTCCGGAGACTGTCAGGGTTCAGCTCCGGAGTGCTTTGGTCAGTGATTTTATGCACCTCTGACTTTTGATCCATAACATTAACATCTTTTAGTGTTAACTCTTATTATGAACGTTTGTTTGCCCCCAGTAAATGTTTTAAAATAATACTACTGAAAGAAACAACTACAAAGCATGGAACGAGTTTGTTGTTGTTTGTGTTTACACACATATATTTTTTAACATCTACAGTGTTTTTACTCATGTTCACTTTGTGTATTCACAGGGGGAATATCCAGGCCAGTCTATTATTAAAGGTCAGACCATTTTTTTCCCTTACAAATGGAATAATATACTGCCAGATTATCAAGTTTGCCAAACTCAGCTTGCGAAATTCCAAGTGTTTTAGTTGCGTGTTGTCATCCTGCAGGAAAAGAAAGCATTTTAGTCAAGCAAGCGCAAAGTCTGGATTTCGAGCAGGTAGGTTTTCATTCGCAACCTGGATATGAAGTGAACATCCTTTAAAATAATTTGTTTGCCAATAAATTCTTAACTAAGACTTATTTACAGTCAAACGTCATTTACTTTGCGAGTTCTGATCCGCTTCATAATGTTCATTTACACTATTGGTTGCCCACAATAATTCTTCAGATTTGTGCAAAAGCCTTGAGCTTTTAAATTTTGGTCAGTATAATTATCAACACACATATTGGTGTATTTCTGTACTAATATGTGAATTTATGAATCTGATCTTTTGAAGATTGGTGAGGCGTTCAGCCTGCACATATTTAGGCACAAGTCAAGTTCATTTGTTTCGCACATTTCAGCAACAAAGTGCTTTACACCACACACATATAGTACAGTAATATCACTTAATTTAGTTATATTTTCAAATTTACTGATCTCATGGAATAAAACAGGAGAAAATAATAAATTTAGTCAGATTCCTTTTAACTTTGACTGAAATTTTATTGTGATGATCAAAATTCTCATAAGAAATAATGCAATAAAAACTCATCCAAGCTTAACAATATTTAACACTTAAAAGAAAGCACTTAAAAACTATACTTTTATACTATTAAAATGTGCTAATTGTGTCTTGTTTTTTTGTTGTTGCTTTTTTTTTCACCAGATGCCACAGGAGCGTCCTGCGTCCAGACAACTCCAGAGGAGCCAAACTGCAGGAGGCTGGGACCACCCCGAAGTGGAATCCCTTCGACGCGAACTCGACACGATGCGGAGAAAACTGCAGACCGCAGAAGAAGAGAAGGGTCCGCTTCAGACGGCGCTGAACCAGAAGAGCCGCGAGTGCCAAGAGCTCGCTCAGAGCCGGGACGCCGTCCAGAAGCGGGCCGACCAGCAGGTCCAGGAGCTGGAGGACGCTTTGGGCGACGTCCAGAAGCGGATGCTGGACTCCGAGTGTAAAGTCAAGCAGCTGCAGGCTCACGTCGTCGCCGTGAAGGAACACCTGGGGGGCCAGGCGACAGAAGAACTGCGCGCACAGCTGCAGGACGTGAAGGCCAAATACGAAGGCGCTTCGGCTGAAGTCGGTCGGGTTCGTAACCGCCTGAAGCAGAGTGAAAAAGCCTTGGAGGAATACAAGAGCAGCGAGAGCCAGCTGGCCGCCGAGACGGAGCGGCTCAACCAGGAGCTGGCAGCGCAGGCAGCGGAGAGAGACGAGCTGAGCAAAGCCCTCTCAGCGATGGAAACCCTCCTGAACAACACCGTCCCGGCCGAGAAGTTTGACAACATGAAGAACCTGCTGACCAACGCGGTGGACGAGAAAGAGCGGCAGCTCGCCGAGCTGAGAGAGGACTACGACCGCGTGTTGGAGGAAGTGGCTGAGCTCCACCGGAAACTGGACGCCCCGTCGTCCCGGGCGATGTCCGTGGAGGAGCATCAGAGGATCGTTTCTGCCCTGGAAGAGCAGAACGCAACTCTGAAACGGAAGCTGATGGATGTGACAGCGAAAAGCCAAACCCTTATCGAAGAGGTGGAGGAGAGCGAAGAGGAGCGAGATCTGCTGAGAGAGCAGCTGGACGAGCTCAACAGCAGGATGGAGAATGAATTCATATCCATCCAGGATCATGAGGCAATTCGGAATGACATGGCGGCGGCTCTGGAAGAGCTGAAGGACAAACTGGTGGAGGCCAGCGAACGATACGGAAAAGCAGAGGGTCAGCTGCAACAGGTTCAGGCCGAGAAGGCCGGGTTGCAGGAGAGCATGCAGGGCGGCAGCGAGAAGACTCAGAGGGAGCTGGACGCGCTGAAGGCTCACAACGGCGAACTGATGAAGAAACTCCAACTGGTGCAGAAGAGATACGAAGACGGAGAGAAAGAACGGGAAGAGCTGACGGTGCAGAAGCAGGCTCTGAAGCGGAGCGTGGAGGAGCAGTTTGTCTCCAGGCAGCAGCATGAGAAGGTGAAGACAGAGTTGAGCTCCACCTTGGAAAGTCTGAAAGCCGACAAGTTGAAGTTGGACGCCAAGCTAAAAGAAAGTGCGGAAGAGCTGAAGAATGTGAAAGAAGGAAATGAAAAGTTGAAAGAGCAGTTGGAAAAAGTGACGTCAGAGATGAAGAGTGAGTGCATACGTATGAAAGAGCACAGAGGTGTCACAGACAAGCTGAACGCTGCTGTCGTCGAGGCCGAAAACCGAGCTAACCAGGCGTCGGCGCTGCATGCTCTGGCTCAGGAGGAAGTGGCAAAGCTCAGTCGGGAGCTGGAGGCCCAGAAGACGGAACTCGATGCCATACAGGAAGCTATTCAGTCCAAGTTTATCCCACTGACGGCAGCCGAGGCGAAGGAAACCACCTACAGCTCTCGGGTGAAGGAGCTGGAGCAGAAACTGGCAGAAACAGAGGAGAAGTATCACAGAGAGAGATCTGTCTGGGAAAGCATGAAACAGGAGAAAGACAAACTTAAAGTTGAAACGGAATCCGTCCAGCAGAGACTGGACTCTGCTTTGGTCAGTAGCAAAAAACACATACAAGCTGAGGAAGAGTTCAAGGCTAAACTCGAGGCGCTGGCGCAGAAGTCGGCCAGCTTGGAGGAGCAACTCCAGGAGGCGACGCTGCAGAAAACTGAACTGCAAGACCAGAACGCCCTCTGCAACACTCAGATCCAGAACCTGCAGGAGCAGCTGAAGTCCAAGCTGACACGGATAGCGACCTATGATACGGAGCTGACGGCGCTCCATGACGCCGCGCAGCAAGCTCAGGTCGACTGCAAGAAGGCGAGAGAGGCCCAGCAGGAGGAAGCGCAAAGAGTCGCCGCCCTCCAGAAGGAACTTCAGGAGCAGCGCAGGGAACAAACGTCACTGCTGCAACAGCACGAGGCCGAGGTCGCCAAACTCCGAGCGACACTCCGCGAAGAGGAAGAGAGCAATGCCCAGAGGGCCGAAGACGTGCGCACCCTGCAGTCGGAGCTGCTGCGAGCCACGCAGGCGCTGGAGGACGTCCGCCACAAGGAGGAGCAGGTGAACGAGCTGAAGAAGGTGAAGCGGCTGCTGGAGGACGACATCGTCGGCCTGGACAACAAGCTGCTGAGTTTGACACAGGAGTGTCAGAAGGCTCACCAGGAGGAGCGGGAAGCCAGAGAGGGTGAGAGCAGGGCCAGGGCCGACATGGCGGCCGCCCAGGTGGCGAGCCGGGCCGTCGAGAGGGAAATCGGGGAGCTGAGGGAACGGTACGATGAGTCGCTCAGCACCATCTCCGATCTGCAGAGGAGGATTCTCAGAACCGCGAGGGCTGCAACTAGCGGATGTTATTCAGTCGATGATTGATCACTGTTTGTGAATTGATTAATCAATTGTCCTGATGATTAATTGGATTATTCTCAAAAATGTATCAGTTTAATGTGTAGAATGAGCCATTTTCATTTATCCACTTAATCCTTTCTTTTTTGACACAAAATTAGAAATACATTAAAACGTTCCAATAAGCAAATATTTAAATTCACTTAAAATGACAAAATAAATATTTTATAGAAGGTGAATCTGAAAGATTGCTGCCTGAGGACTTGTTGGGGAAAACATTTTTACAAACAAAAGTGTTTTTATATTCAATGCAAAATATATATATATTTATATTTTGTGCAGTGTTGACTAAATTACTGCTCTGAATACGTTGGATGTTTTTTTCAGTAAATTACCTTTTTGAGTTTGTTTAGTTGATGATTAATCAATTACTAAATTGACAGTTATTTCAAAAATGGTCAACTATTATTTTAGTACTCGATTATTCTGATGTTTAATCGATTAATAAAAAGAAAATATCCGGTTTATCAGATCAGTTGGCGATTAGTTGATAACCAAATTGGTAGATGATTATGTCAATAATTGATTCATTGCGATGAATTGCTTCAGCACTAACACATGCTTTACTGTTCAGCTCGTCAGCAAAACGTGCTTCACTGGAGATAAAAAGGAAAAAAGTTTTTATCTGTCTAAACAGAAGTTTTACGACATGCATTGTGTTTATAGATCACAGAGTTACTGACTGACGTGGAGCGACTGAAGCAGGCGCTCAACGGTTTATCTCAGCTGACGTACACAAGCAGCACACCAAACAAGAGACAGACACAGCAAGTGGACGCCCTGCAGGCCCAGATCACGAGTCTACAGCAGCAGCTGGCTGTGAGTGAATAACCTGCATGCAGTCAGTGTTTACTCTGAAGTACTGTGTGGTATCGTGTAAAAGTAGACATTTGATTTACTTGCATTTGCTGTTGCACACCAAAATTTCCGGTGGGATTATTCAAATATAATATTTAGGCCCTCTGTTTCATTTGAAGACTTTCCAGGTTCTGATAAGATCAGAAAACAAAGGGGTCAAGTATGACGTTCCAGGTTGCATATCTTAATCCATTATCAAAAAAATAAAAACCATCATTTCTGGAAATTACAGGGTTCATTTATAAATAGATGATGACATTTGTGTTATGTTGGACACAACATAACTGGCTTCTGTTACTTTGATTTTTTATTTTAAAAAAATCAAAGTACGACTGATCACAAGCTGTGATTTTAAAGGGTTGCTGTTATCTGGAATGGTCCAGTAGGGATTCTTCTGGTATGTGAATATATATTAATTGATTCAGATGCCAAAAAGATCTAAAATGACTCGTTGGCCGACTGTTGAATCAGAGGCCAACTTCAGATTTTGTTTCATAATTTTTGGAGGTAAAAATCAACAATAAAACCCACTAATAGGGATTTTTGTTTTAGTCAAATGTAAAAACTGCAGGGAAAAAAAAGAGATTCTGGAATAGTATGGAATATTAAATGGAAATATGTAAAACTTTAAAATCTGATATGCTCAGTGTTGTTGGGTTTTGTCAGTGATTGGTATGTATGTTTGTCTGGTATCCTGATATGTGCTGGACTCTTTGTAGTGATGTGATGCTGCGGTTCAGTACCGAGGACGTGTGCTGCCGCTGAAGGCATCAAAGTAACACCGTGTCTTTCATGTCTTCTGCTTTTCTCCGTGATAAGGATGCTGAGAGGAAGCACAGAGAGGTGGTTTCCATTTATCGGATTCATCTTCTCCGGGCAGCACAGGTGAGTTCCTCGCTCTCAAAACGCTGCAGACTTTATGCTAAACCAGCTTTTCACATTTTAGAAATGTAAAATTCAATTCATAAGTGTGGTTATTGACACCATTTGGCTTTAAGGGAGTTGTGGGAGCTTTTGTCTGACTGCGTGTCTTTCAGGGTCACATGGATGAGGACGTCCAGGCCGTCTTACTGCAGATCCTCCGTATGAGAGAGGAATTCGTCTGTTGAAGTCTCCAAAACCAAAACCGACAAAAAAACTCAGCCTTCTCCAATTTACTCATCTATATTTTTCTAATATAGCTATGAAGAGAAACAAGCAATGATTTCCACTGTTTTTTTTTTCTGAAATCTGTTTGTCTGTAGTATCTCAGCACCTTGATTCTTGGATTAAATCTGAAAGTGGCTGCAGATTAGGAACAAACAGCTTTTACAGGTACAAACATGTGTCTCTGTCAAACTGTTTTCTTTGAATTACCTAAAGAAACATCTCAGTTCCAGCTTTAAATTCAGTTTATTTCTTCGCCATGATTCATTTTTGTAAAATCTTCTGGAGTAGAACCAGCAGCTTTGGCCCATTTAGCTCAGTAATGTAGAACTTATTTGAAATGTGGGTTTGTTTAGTTTTTTTCTTCTTCTTCTTCATAACACACTCCTAAATGCGCAGCTGAAATGAAAACTGGACATGATCACAAGACTACTTTCACATTCCCACCTCACAGTCGACACTGCAGACAGTTCTCATTGTTTATTGAAGTGTTGCTGCGAAACAATTTAAGGACAGGTTCATATTTTAATTATCTACTAATGTTGCAGTAATTATTCCTGCTGATTGCGAGTCACTCAGAAAATATAAAGATATGCAAACTTTGTTCGATAGTGAAACCTTAAACTGTGTCTCACATGAACAAAGTCAGAAACTCTGGATTTAAAACGGTCAAAGGCAACAGTCTGAATTTCAGTTTTGGCTATTTGCGCAACAACAGAAAATGTTTAAAATGTTATTTTTAAAAACCTTGAATGAAATGTTTAGACGTAATATTTCAATTTTTTACCTCCTGATTGTTTCTTTTCAGAAAAGATGCGTATATTTATTGCTCTTGGCGTAACTTCGGAGTTCATATGGTGAAATCCTTAAATTTTTGGATAAGTGTAGAATCTGTTTTAATATTTGTAAGGTAAGTAAATAGCGAGAAAGGAAATGAGTGAGGACTTCATTCCCGATTAAGCTGATACCAGGTAAATGTGAGTAAAAAAGTCCTTGTGTGTTAGATTCATATTAAAAATTAAATACTTTTTAAATTTGCTTTATTATGTTCAACATTTTAGTTATCAGAAGTTTGGTATTCAACATGCTGAGCGATAAATACACATAAAAAAAGATGTAATTTCAACACTTTAATGCTCCCAAACCACCTTAAATAAGCATTTTAAACTTGTTTTGTTGCTTAAAGCATTAACAGCACCTTTGTAAATCCAGGTCAAATTTAAAAGTGTTGGAGACTAGAACTGGAAACCAACTTCAGCATCAAGTTATATTAAAAAAGATCTAAAAGAACTACCTGGTAATATCAGAAATTGAAGTCTGCAACATTAGAGTTTGAAAAGAAAATTGTATGTGATCCTTATAATGGTGGAAAATGTCTTGATTCTAAGCCACTACTAAATACTAAATAAATAAATACTTTAGCCAATACTAAATTTTTTGTCAGCATGAAATTCTGGCTCTTAAATGGATCCAGAAGGAATAGCAATTTCTGTGACATTTCAAAAATATGAATCTGTCCTTTAACCTGTTTCATGTCGGTCGCTTCTTGTAATCGACTTCCAGTGAATCGGCCTCGATTTTATAACACCGCTTAACCATTTCTGAAGGTCCAAACTCAAAAGACTACAGGGGGTCAGAGGTCGAATTTCAGCCGCTTGTGCCCATCAGTCGGATTGCATGAGGCTGCGTGCCGATGATGCCGGGTTGGAGTCTGTGCTGATCTGCTGTTTCCCAAAGTTTGCAGTGAAATGTTCTTTTTTTGTTGAAACCAGAGCTCCCTCTAGTGGTGAGACTTGGCAGGCCAAGTCCATAAATGTAACCATTGTAGCTCAGGGGGATTCAGTTGTTTTTCAAAGCTCTAAGTTCTGCACGCTTAAATTTAAGTAGGAGAATAATTTAAATATTTAAAATGAAAATGTAAAACCTAATGCTTAAACCACTTTAATTCTATTTCTTGAAAGAAAAGAAAAAACTAAATCTCGTCTTTTATCTAACTCTTGCTGCAGTGAACTCAGAAGCGGCCTTAAAGCAACAGGTTCCCCTGAGCCAGCTTTGTGTGACTACTGACGCTGTTGTGTTGTGCTGTTTTGTAATTTTGGAGCAAGTCTCTTTTTGCCTTTACACTGATCTGTTTTTCATAGCTTTGTACTACTTTAATTAGTTTACGAAAGTCTGAGGAATCGGATAATTCAGCAGGTCTGGAAGTAGAGCGGCACAAACATGTCCAGAGGAACATCTGACAATTTAGGAATCAAACTGGTGCATTTATTTATGTAGAGAAACCTTCCCATTCGCAGTAACTTGAAACACTCCTGTCTTTAGTTTGGAAAGTGATGGTAGGTGTGTGGCGTTCTGCAGGTTTAAAGCTCTGACGCTAATATTTTGGGATCTGTTTCAACTACAAGCTGAACCCATGTCTGCAGAACCATACTGTCCAACCGTTGTGGTAAAACTGGATGATGTTTATCTTTAATAACACTTTCTGTTTGTTGAACATTCATACGTCAATAAAAGTGCCTAACATAGAAAACTACATGCTTGTCAGCGCCTGATGTTCTTGTGATTCTGTCATTTCCAACCTTCACTAAGCTTTCCTTTGGCTTCATCCTTTCACAGTTTTGACCTTGACGTGTCGACGTTTTTCATGTATGAAAAGAAGCCGTATGCCTCAAAATGTTTTGCAGCTGCTTCCAGCACTTTTTCTAGCCTCTTTGAACTCTGGTTAAAGTAATTTTCTATTAACTGACCAGACTACTGTAAGAAATGAAGATTTAAACCTGCAGCAATGTAATTGTTGTTTCGGGCCAAGCTGGAGTCATGATCTAATTTTTTTTAACTTAACTTGGTTCTCTGATGCACAAACTACTTTTGCCAGGAATAATCTAGAAAATGGATAATGGTGTTAATTTCAGGAAAGATGGGAACAATAAAATACCCAACATGGCCTCCAATGTTCATACCTGATCAGCCTGACTGAACCTGAGACGGTCTGCAGAGAAACGACCAAAAAAAAAAAACGAGTGAAGCTTCATTTTTATTTTTATTTATTTTTTTTGTTGTTGTTTTGGGGTTTTTAAAGAGAAATGTACCTCTGAATGTGAATGAAGTGAAGCGGTTTGAAAATTGCCAACGTTAATGCACCCTGCAGCGGTTTTTGGGTTGGTGAGCGCTGACGTCAGTTTGCTTGGCGGCGGCGCCGTTCATGTGGTTCCACTTGAAGTCCAATCAGCCCAGGAATGAGAGCGAGGATCTCTCTGGCACACAGCGCCCACTTCTATCCTGGAGCCTGCCCCTATATTGATTTGTCTGCTTCTCTTTGTGACTTCAACAGATTTATTTTTCATCGATAGATTTAATTTTTTTTAAGGGGCGGCCTGAGGGCAGAGGTCAGCACTGAATGTCAGATAAAACTCCTTGGCGCGCGGGTTCACTCCGCAGGTGGGGGATTTTTCGTTTTCGGGAGCAAAATGTGGCTAAATAAACTCGAGTGATTGATTATTGAAAGTAGTTAGTAGTAAAAGCAGTTACACTCAGAGCTAATCCATCTGTTGCTTCACCTTCTGTTCAGGCATGCACACACACCCTCTAATCTCTGCAAGGTTTGTCCTGAGTTTCTTTCAGCAAATCTCTGTGGTCCTCCTCCTTCCTCTCTTTTATGGTGCTCTTATTTTTGCGGTCTGGCCTGAATAAGCTGTTCTCAGCAATCATGGCAAATACATTTCAATCTGTTGCTTGGAAATCTCTTTAATCTTATTTCCAGTGTCCTAATCAGTCCCATGCATCCACTTGCGGCAGCCTGGTTAACCATCATAACCCCCTTTCCTCACCGCAGAAGAAAGAAAAAGGGAAAATGGGGGGGGGGGATAAAATGAAATAAAAATAAAAAAAATCCCGTCTTTATAAAATTTGTCGCCCCGAAAAGGATCAGACAGTATTTATGTTGGATTGGGCCCGACCGTCCGCTGCGCGCCTGCTGAGTGGTGAGCTGGCTGGGGAGCCGGGCGGGTGGTTATAGACACATCAAACACGCCCACGTATTTCCTCGCGGCCCTCTGGGCTGTCATGAACATTTGCTATCTAACGCAGCAGCTCTTCCACCTCGGTGGCTGCTCATTTCTCTCCCCCACGCTCGGTCTCTCCGGAGGAGCGGCTGCGGTTCGCCGGTCATACAGCGGGGGCCACAGGGGCCTTTTCTGCATGTCTGGATTGAGATAACTTTTTGTTGTGACTGTGTTAAACGCAGCACTTGCACTCTGATCAGCTTGGGACTCTCAGGTCCCTGTTAAAGGAACTCTTTGTTTTGGTTTTTTTTTATTATTATTTTTCAATTTTTTGGAGCCGAAGAGTCCCACTGACCAAACCTGAAACGTTTACTCAGAATGAGAAGTGAACCCTAGCACAAGGTAGTGTTGGTATATTTGAGCTGAAGGCTTCGTTTGAAAATGAAAAGCAGACTTTCGACTCTGATAACCTTTCGCTTCATCACCAGATGGTTTTCATTTTCAAACTTGGAGTCTTCATCGGTCGAAGCAGCTCAGCGTTTCTTCTCAACCACAAAAACCCTCATATAACTCCGCACAACTCCCTGAGACCAGTAAACACATTTTTACTGTGTTTACTGGTCAGTAAAAGATCGACTGGGTTCCTTTTTAAACCAGATATTCTGTATGCCACAGAGGTACGGTAGCCTTGTCTCCTTCCTGTGGATTGCTTTAGGTTTTTGTCTTGGTAAATGCAAAAGATTTTAAAGGTGGTTGAAAGCTGGTGGGTGGACCAGCAGCTCCGATGGACGAAACGTTTTTCCTCGGCGAACAAGTTGCAAAACATCTCCGGATGTCGCCGGTCAAGTTGAAAACACAGCTCTCTAGAAATCCGTTTCATTCATTATTTAACAAGCGGAGAAATGGCTTTTACACATAAAATCTGAGAACTGCGTGTTTTGTTTTGTTTTGTTTTTCTTGTTGTTTTCATCTCGTATCAAAATGTCTCTGATCTAGAGCTTCCTAGTTTGACTGAAAAAGCAGAAACCGTATAAATCTGTGTAGGGGTCAAGTGCTTCTTGGCAGAGCCGCGCTAACCTTTCCTCCTCCTCTCCGTTCCTGTCGCCTCTCATCCTTCCTTCCTGGTTACCCTCACAGGGGTCAGGTGGTTCAGGGGGCCTGCGCTATATTTGTCTGCTCTGTGTAATAGCAAACTATTTCTCTGTCACTAATAGGCTATTACTCAGACGTACCCCGCAGTCTGAGGGCAGCAAACATGAGGCCAGGGGCCCCGTGTTTCTCTTTTTTTTTTTTCCATGCATCCCCTGAGGAACAGGACTCCTCTTGGCCCCAGGCCGAGACAGGCGGGGGCCCCTTTAATGTTTTCGCAGAGCTCCAAAGCACTTTGTTGCCTCAATAAAGTTCATTTATGGGATAATAAGACTCTGAAGGACACATGGTGCTGATTTGAGCCGAATGGTTTCAGCATGGCTCACATTCCCAAACCGGGCTCTCCTGTCTCCTGCCTGTTCTCCATCACTTTATTTAATTTTCATCCCGTTTCTGTTTCTTCGGCCCCAAGCCCTCCCGCCCCCGGTTCTCACCTTTCCCTTGCCGTTCGCCTCACATCCCTCTGTACTTGTCATCTGCCGCCGCACGGTGCCCCTCTATGTAACACGTTGGCGGTGTTGCAGCGTGATCCTGGGCTGACCCGGGATTTGCACACCTGGGAATGAGTTTCGGCGTGGGGGCAGGAGGCCCGCTCTTTTCCCAAGATTTATTCCAGGGCTTGGAGAGGTGGATGAGGGAAGAGAGCGGGGATCAGAGAAATGAAAACCAGCAAACCCCCAAACGCTGGCAGAAGGCGCTGCATTTACACGCCAAGACCAGAACCCAGAGCCCGGGACTTTTTGCTGAATCCAACGTGTGGAAGTGTGTGTATAGGATACATGTGTGAAAACAGCTTTCCTTATTCCAGAGATTAGAAACAGAGCTGATCGTCTCTCATTGTTATCCCCTTGGTTATTACAGACGAGGCTTACGTGAGTGTTGGCCGTCCTTCCCTGAAACCCAGTAAGGACATCACACACTCCCACTGGCTAAACAGTTTCATCTGAGTTCAATGTTTTTCTTTTCCCCTCATTAGTAGTTGGTTAACCGCTAATGCTTAGCGTATCTGTTGGGCTTTTCTTCCTCCCTCCATTGACTTAGCGAGAAACAGATGGGTCCCCACCACCGCATATCCCACTCCAAAATACCTTCCCGTCCTCCTTCCACAACAGCCTCTCGCTTTGAAACGGGAAATTTAGCATTTTGGTTCAGATAAGATTTTCAGATTTGGTCTGTGCTTGGAAACACGGCGGAGGCCGTCTGGGAGATGTCACATTATGCCTGAGGGTGTGAGCCAGAAGTGGTTGGAGTGGCTGGGGTTCGACTCCTTGAAGAAATGTTGTAAGTTTGTAGGAATGACACCAATTTTGCCGGAGACGATCCAGCTTGATTGATGTTGCAGGATAGTGAGCAAGAACATTTATGCAGCTGGGGTGAAACTCGTTGCTTCATGCGAGAAATTGTCGTGTGGATATTCAGGTTTTGCCCTTTGTGGTATTTCAACTTTCACAGAGATTATTTGCGCATCTCATTAAATCATTGCTTTAACGCAGTGTTTCTCAAGCTTTTTTTGGGCCAGGGCCCCCCTGTCCATTATCCAGGCCCCTCGCCGCCCCCCATCAAAGAATCTGTAGGCTACTTTGCACTGAATATTATTTTATTACTAATATTGCCATCACATATTGTTGATGTTTTGATTTTTATGCTTGTTTCCAGTCATAGTTTTACTAGACAGAAATTGTAAAGAACAAAGCTGGTTCTTAGTCAAATCCTAATGACTCATATATCATGGAGTCACTTGACACCATCATGACATTAACGATGACATGAGATATAATATTGAAGATATACATATATAAAATATAATCTAATAAAAACACAAACAAGTGATAAGTACCTCACTGTTATTGTCTGTAAAACGTATTTCTTCTGAGTATTAGATGTGGTCCCAACAAACCCATGGCACTTTAACAATGTTATTTTACCTTTTATCTGAAAACAATGACTGTTCTTGCAGTAATATTCAGTGCAGAAGAAGCTAACGTTAGCAGCAGAAGCTAACGTCAGCAGCAGAAGCTAACGTTAGCAGCAGAAGCTAACGTTAGCAGCAGAAGCTAACGTCAGCAGCAGAAGCTAACGTTAGCAGCAGAAGCTAACGTTAGCAGCAGAAGCTAACGCCCCGTTGAGAAGCGCTACTGTAACAGAACTGATGACTGAAATACTTTCATTATTCGACACCATATCAAACCTTTCTGACACAGAAAGTCTAAAGGTGCTTTCAATCTGGCAAAAGAGTGTCATTGAAACGTATTTAATTTCTTCCAGTTACTTTTAGACTGGAGTAAAAAGAGAGAGCACATCAAAAGAAAACTCAATCACCACTATTGATCAGGGTGAATGTGCTACTGATTAACCAAGGTTAATATGAAAGCTGGAGATGCCT